TATATATTATAATGACAATGACAACTATAATCACAATTTAAGAATAAGACAAAAATGCACTCAAATGTGATGAGAATCAATGTGACAATGCAAAAAAAGATTGTACTGGTTTTAAAAATTGGCTTCATTTTATTTATTATCAATTTGTTTCTTATTATTTTCTTTTCATTTTGGGGTGAAATGTGACCTAGACCTGCCCTAGAGGTTTTGTGAGATTCACTCATTGTCTCTGATGAAGCATATCTTTAGAATATTAAATATAGCTGCCAAATCTATCTTTCTCCCCACACGCACACATGCACACACAAGCCATGCGCCTCAGATGAACCATTTACCGCTTATTGATCGGGATGTTTACTGGGTCTCACCCCATTTTAGTGCTTTTTTCGGTTGGGTGTTGTACGTGTGTTTGTGTGAAACTGTGCCAAGTCAGAGATTAAAGTTTAAGAACTGGTCATGCAACGTGTAGTTTTCCAACCAGTGCTGCTTGGATACTCATAACCACATCCTTAAACCAACTGGAAATGATAGTGATGTGACTACAACAACTTAATTCCAGACATGATGATGATGATGATGATGATGATGATGATGTTGTAACTACTTACGAGAACATATCTTTTATGTCATTGTTCTGCCAAATCTGTGATGTGTGACATTTTTTGACTTGTTATCTATGCCTGGCAGTGTTTGGATCAAATTACTGTGAAACTGTGGACCGACTGTTTCTATAGAGGAAAATATATGAATATGTATTTGGAATATATTAATGATTTTTGTATGTCTGTATATTTTCCTTCTCTGTGTTTATTCTTGCATGCACAATTAGTGCCGAAATGTAGTCTCTGAATACTGATATTTTATTATTTTAGTAAATAATATGCACTATAGTTTTTAGATGACAATATTTCATTTTTCTGGTAAATAGAATTCTGCAGTCTAAAAAAGTTTTTCCAAACTATAAAATGCATATGCTCGCCAAGGCTGCATTTATTTGATCAAAAATACAGTAAAAAACAGTAACATCTTGAGTGTCACATAAATCATTCTAATATGCATAATGCAGTTTTTCAGGAATCTTTTATGAAAAGATTTATTTGAAATGTTTTGTAATATTATAAATTGTTTCATTTGTCACTTTTGATCAATTTAATGAATCCTTAGTGAATAAAAGTAAATTATTTCTTTCAAAAAAAAAACTTACTGATCCCAAACAGTGTCCACAATGCAAGAACACTAATTGACTAGTCTTAAAAATAAGCTACCTGCTTAGATACCTGCAAAATAACCATCAGCAAACAGCAGATCCATATGAGAACAAAAGGAGTGTTTTGCGTGAGTGTGTGAAATTGTGCGTTTGGACTTCTGGGTCTCATGAAGACATGATGGTGCAGTAATTAAGTAGGTACAGGGACCAGACTCTCAAGAAGTACTTCTCTCCAAAGTTGGTTTGGGCCTCTAGCAGAAGGTAGGACTTCGTCTTGATTGTCCTCTGTCTTGAATGAAAGAGCATTTGGTGTCTCTCTGTTCCTGGTTTATGTGTTTAGCAGAACTTCGAGCTGTTTGTCTCCAGTTGGCTGGACTTTAATGTCCAAATGTTCATCTCGTTCTCATGGCTTTTTAGAGAATTTTTGTTAAATGTTTTAGACATTTATGGTCTAGTCTGCTCTCCTCTGAGTCTGTACTGTCCCTCCATGTTATTTGTGGTTTAATTCAGCCTCCTCCAGACTGACTCTCTTTTGTCTTGAGTTTTTGATTCTGATGTAACTTCAAGCTGTGGGTTCCTCTTCATCAGTTTCCTCTTGGTCTTTCTGACTTTTAGTATCTGATTATCCTCTGTGATGTTTTCGTGTTGTCTTTACAGTTGATATGTGATTATAATCACAGATGTCTGATTTAAAGTCAACATAAAATCAAAATGGATCCTATTTGCTTTCTTCATGCATGTTTCAGGTGATTTGGCATATTTTTCTAAAGTGCCTCCGTAATTCATGATCAGCTTTTTTCTGCTGAAGTCACCAAGGCTTTGTGGGCTATTGGATCATGTTAACTTATTAGCAGTTTTCATGGGCAATTTCCAGTGGACAAATTCAAGTTTATCTGGTTGAATATCCTGCTTATCACAGAAACAGGCCACACCGTGAAAGTAAAATAGGTTGCAAATGCAATTTTGTGTTGACTTTTTATTGCATTGCTATAAGAATAATGGTCTTATTGAAGTGATGCATAATGCAAAATGCCAACAAAAACCTTTGCTGAAGATGTGGAAAAGTTGTAAGATGTGGTTGGTGTTGATGCCCCCCCCCCCCAATATTAAATTTTTTTGAATTGAAAAATTAGACCGTGAGAGTGCTAACATTTCACAATAAGTGTAATAATGTACAAAAAATTACTTTAAAAATGTTTTCAAAATTTGTTAATGTGCAGTTATAAATATTCCTATACAGTAATTAACTAATGTTAATTTATACAAATTAATGTTAAAATATACACTATCATTTAAAACGTTTGGGTCGGTAACATTTTTTTTTTAAGAAATTAATACTGCTATTCAGCAAGGACGCATTATATTGATAGAAATCAGTAGTAAAGACATTTATAATGTCTTGCAAAAGACTTTTATTTCAAAGAAATGCTGCTCTTTTGAACTTTCTATTCATCAGAATCCTGAAAAATATTAAGCAGCACAATGTTGTATTGTTCAATGCACGTGGCAATAAACTCAACATCATATTGTTCAATGTTGAGAAATGATGCTGTCAATTCAGCTTTGCATCACAGGAAAAAATTACATTTTAAAATATATTTAAATAGAAAACAGTTATTTTTAATTGTAATAATATTTCACAATATTACAGTTTTACTGTAAAAAAAAAAAAAAATTTTGAATCTCACCAACCTCAGAATTTTGAACAGTAGTGTATGTAATTAACTAATGTAAACATGTAGAGCCTTACTGTATTGTGGTGTTTTCAAAATTTTAAAAAACGTAAACAATTTAAAAATGTGTAAACAAGTAATATCTTTGACCTTTAACACCTTGAGTTCAGGTTACTAGTTATAACCTAGACCATTAGTGACGTATGCAAAATATTATGCACATTCATGGTCACACTCATAACTCTCTTTCTCTGTTTTTATTTCAGAAAAATCGACGTGACACAGGTAATTTTGACAAGGAGTTCACCAAGATGGCGGTTGAGCTGACACCAACGGATAAACTCTTCATTATGAATCTGGACCAAAATGAATTCCAAGGCTTCTCCTACACCAACCCTGAGTTTGTCATTCAAGTTTAACACCAAACTCCAGTTGATTGCTCCATACAGGTGTGAGAGCAGGACATGGTCTTATTACCCAGAAAGCATTCTTTTGTCCCTGTGCCATCTTAATTGTCCTCTCTCTTCACCTAAAAAGGCACAAACCCAGCAGGTTCATACAGAACCAAACCAGGATTATACTCAGTCTCAACCAAGGCCTCAGAAACTCTGAAATGAATTTGCCAGAGGAGAGAGAATGGTTATAAAAGAGTGTATTCACAGTCTCCATGAGAATGTCTTGTGTTTTCATCTCCATGAGAATTATCCTCTTTCTTTTACCCATTCTCTCCATAGATTCAGTCAGCTTTTTCCTGCAGCCCCTCGTTTCCAAATGAATTAGCCTGACAACATGCAACACTTTTTCAGAGCTAATTAGGCCTTACGCAACCTTGAACCGTTTAAGTTACAATCTGGTCTAAATTAGTAAAGCATTTTGGTATCAATTCAAAGTCAAGTTCCCGTGCATCAGTGAGTGATAGATAAGCAAATATCCTCAAGCACTTCTTGCTAGATGTCTGTTTAAGTGGTTGATATCTGTCAGCTTGGTCTGAGATTCTCAGCATTACAGCAAAATATTTAAAATAATGACATCCATATGGCCTTTAGTTTGCTCCCAGCATAATGGCTTCTGTTCATGAGATGCTCTTAAAATTCATTCTTTGTGTCACGATAACTTGAGCGAAAAACATAAGACAACAGGGTTGATTTATAATTTACATGCAACTCAAAAGCACATGGATAAAGCTTTGAAAATCAACATTTTACATGAAAACGGTTGACGTTTGTGGTGCCAGAAATATGTTGATTGTTTGCCTTCATTGCTGATCAGTTGAAATCTGATATTAAAACAGTCTTAAATCAATTAATGAGCTTAACTGTGAGAGCATCATATTGATTTTGCTTTTTGAGATTTTTCAGTTGAATTTTCCTTGTTATTATGACATAGTCATATTTATAAGATAAAGGGGGTAATTATAACAGAAGTCATAATTATGACATAAAAAGTCATATTTATGAGATGAAAATCATAGTCATAATTTCAACTTTGTTTCACTTTTTAATCTTACAATATCAGCTTGTTTGACTTCTATGTCTCAATTTCAACTTTTTATGTCTGAATGACTTAGTATGTCAATTTTCATAATTATTTACCAAAGCATGATTTATGTGGTGGAATTGGATTTTTAAAGAAAAGTTGGCATAATGCCCATTTTAGGGTTAAAAACCGTTTGAGAAGGAAACATTCTGCAAGCATGACACAAAGAGAATAAAATGCAAAAAGCAGTGACTAGCATCAAATAACATGAAATTAAAATATACTTACAAAAAAATGGATAATGAATTAGGGGAGACATATCTTTAAGGGCACAGAAAAGTGCTATCGTATAACAATACATCCTTTTGATGTGCAATATGATGAGAATTACAAATACTGACTGGAAAATGTTAGAATGCACTTTCAACCTTTACTGTGTTTAAAGCATTGAGTTTCACCATTTCTTTTCAATTTATTTTTGAACAGCTGACAAGTGCATGCGGTTGCAATCCTTGATAAAGTGCGTAAGTGCTGTTTACTGAATTGGCATCAGGGGTTGTTTCATGCATATGACTGGCTGCAGAGAATGTGATTCATACTGTATGAGCTGAAAAACTAACATTAGCTACTGTACCAGTCTTTACTGAAACCCTAATGTGCCATATATTTTTGTGGGGGAATCTGCAGTGTTTGGGGAGCTCATTATGTGCAATGTGTCTGTGTTAAACAGACTCCACAAGGAGTTTTAGTCTACCCTATGCATGCCTGGTAGAGCCCTTGCTCTTTAACTCGGTGTTAACTTATTAACTAAGTGTGTCAGTAATGGTTGGATCTGTTGTAGCATAGATCCTTATTAGGTTTATGGTGTGTGAACATTTCTATTTGTTTATATGTTTTATTTTGTAATTAGATATATAAAATAGAAATATAAGTATTCTAGTCTTCCAAATGAAAACACATTGTGTGATCATGTAAACAGTGATAAGTATAATCTGCTTTTCCTAAGGTGATAACTGGAAAAGTGGGGATAATGTATAAAGATATTGTATAATATTTATTGTATAGTGTATATGGAGGGTTAAAGGTTTGTGAAGACCTGTAGCCTGAACTACAAAGATGTGAAAGCTGGAAAGAGAGATTGAAAAGCTGTTATTTTAAAGCAACTGTATGTTTTTAATCTTGAAATACAGTTTCAAAATAATTCTGATGGTTCACTGACTTTTAATAATGCAAATGGCTTCTGTTTCCGCTCAATCGTGTGTTTTGGGATGATGTAGTCTAAGTTTGCTGAACGGGTATGAAATTCCGCGAAAAGGGTGGATTGCTTTATGGCAGTAACAAATGCACATGTAATTACGACAGTGAATTTCACTCACTTAACTCTAGGGAGCTCCAAAGTCGCAAAAATACACAGAACTACATACAGTTGCTTTAACTAGACTTTTATAAAAATAAAAATAAAACATAAGAAAGATGAAGGTGATAAAATAGCGTGTAGTTGACAGCCTTACTAGCGTTACTGCCCTAAACTAAATCTCTTCGGCATGTGCGTAACTGTAAATGAATGATGTGGCCTTTACGCAATCAAGGTAATTGTCACACCTCGAACAAACATGCACATTTTAATATTGTAAACCCTGGCCCTGTTTAGTAGGCGGTTATTATTTTAGTTTTTCTATCATGTTTTAATGATGAAGGCTTTAAAGGGCTTCCTGTACAAGAATCAAACCCCCAAAACAAGTTTTATACTATGCAAGACAGATGCATGTCAACAACGACACATCGACATAACATCCAGACAGCAGCAGTGGTTGGCTATGGGGAGGGCTATCGCTGGTAATTGCAGAGATATTTTGCATGTTATTTATTTATGCTATGTGGATTATTAAAGCTGAAGTTTTCAAATGCCAATCTGTGTGTTTGTAATTTTTGTTAGTTTTTGTTATGAGGTTCTATAGAGAGTCCATAGTGTCATATATATATATATATATATATATATATATAAAAGTATATAAAGCAGCGACTGATTATGAAACATAAAACTACAGTGAGACTTTACATTAGTGGTCATGTTACATTCTACACACACATTAAAACTACAATAGCGGGTAACCAGTGTTGGGAAGTAACTACAGAATTACATAATTTAACTACAAAATGAATGTATCTGTAATCAGTTACAGTTACTGAGAAAAAAAATGTGTAATTAAATTAATTACTTATGAAAATGTTTACGATTACAAAGGGAGTTACATCTAATTTTTTTTCACACACACCCCCACATACAGATTTAGCTGATTTCTTTCATAAATTGCGTTGACTGCTGTTTTATTTCCTATTTGGGTTTATGTATATGCTTTATTTTTGAAGATTAACTGTTCTTTTCCAAGCCATTGTTAGATGCCAGTGTTTCCTGTCATATATGCAAAGATTTGATTTCAAAATCAGTATCGTAGCTACTAAACTATTTCTTGTTATGGTTTTAAATCTGTATTTAACCTCAGAATTATCTCAAAGTAAGTCTGATTTTGTGGTGGCTGTGCTTTAAAATTAAATGATTATAATCTTAATTGATTGATTAATCTTAATTGATTGAGCATGTGACAGTAATCAGTGTTGAGTAGCCTACTACTGTGAGGTTAACCCTGCCTGGTTTACATGTTTGAAAATGATTAACAGTTGAAAACATTAGAAATGTAGAAAAGTCATCAAAAAGTAATCAAATGTAATCAGTTACTGTCACTAATCTCTAGCTGGAGTGCCTGTGAGCTTCGCTAGAGGGCACTCCATTCCAGACTCTTGCCACTTTACCCCGGACTCCATTTCCCATAATCCTTTGCACGGACTAATCAGGACTCACCAATTGCAGTCACCTGTCTCTCATCACCTCATCAGTCACACACTATAACAGGGGTTCTCAAAGTCTACATTCAAAGGTCCAAATCTGAATTTTCATCAGTGTCAAAGGTCCGGACCGGAACAATTGGTTATTACAAAACTTGTTTTTAATAAACATACGTAACATGCATAACAAATAAACCTTTTTTTTTTTTTAAATAAAGTGCAAAAGTGGCAAAACAATTAATTTAAGTGTCTGCAATAGAGGTCGACCGATATTTAGAAATCAGGGCATCCGATGGCCGATATATGATGCTGATTTTTTGGCCGATTTATGTTTGGACGATTGTTTTTTTCCTTCTTTATCTCATAAAAGCGAGTTTGAGTAAATGATTATTGCAGGGCAGAAGATGGTAATAGTAGTAATAGTAGTAGTAGTAGTAGTAGCCTAATTCATAGTAATAATACATGGCTCAAAGCACCTTCTCAAAACAGTTCTGAAGCATGCTTTTTGTTTATGTTTGCTGACGGACACCAGCGTTTCCCACAGACTTGCAAATGCAAATTCATTTTCTGCCAGCAGGAGGCGCTGTTGGAGCGGAGATATAGCGGTTTCCCCGGTAATGGCTGTAATCAAATACAAAACGGTATGTCAAACGTCATATGCTCACTGGATGTCATGACAACAAATGTCATGAAGGAAAAGTTTCAATATGTCGCCTTCGCTTTAATTTCGGACCATCTCCAAAAAGACATTAAAAAACTAAATGTATGATTTACAAGTTTAACATGCGTTTATCAAAGTAGGAAATAATTAGTGTTCTTGAAATATGAAATTGGGGCGGGTCCGGACTGAATTCCCTCCGGGGGAAGCACTTTGAGAAGCACTGCACTATAAGAATGACACAACACACACGTTTACACTGCTGATGATTGATAGCCTGTAATGTTTCCTAGTTTCCTTGCCTTCGAGTTTTTGATCTTGGACTGTTTCCTTGTTTTGATTGTTTGCTGCCTGCCCTGACCATTGCCTGTTTATTGAATTACTCTTTTGGATTTGCCTTTGATGGTACTGTTTTGCTGGTGTTTGACCCTGCCTGTCTGACTACGATCTTAATAAAGCTGCATGTGGATCCTCAACTCTGTTGTCACACCTCCAACGTTACAGTTACATTATTTTAATACAGTAATTGAAATAGTTACATTCCTTATTACATTTCAGATAGGGTAACTTGTAATCTGTAACCTACTACATTTACAAAGTAACCTTCCCAACACTGAATATTGTAACCTGACACTGAGTATTTAATGTTGTACAATGTCAAAATATGTCATAGCAACTTGTCTAGCCATTTATATTGTCACAATAATTGCATACGTTTTATACGACTTTACAATGTAATAAAAAAATTTAATATGTGTAATTTCAGAAACGTTAAGTGTTAATAAACGTACGTTTTCTGTCAATATATTTCTACGGTTTGTAAATAAGCAAATGAAAATGGCAGGGTAACTAAATAAATGTGTTAGTTTGTGCATGTTCTTCTTTAAAATGTACTGATCCTTTATTGCATAAGTTTATCTGTGCTGTTCACGACACTATTGAGCGCAAAGTGAGAGGCGGTGCTTTACATCCACAATCAGAGAGGCTCAACCAAAACCCACCTCAGTATGATCCATGTGGGAATGCACACAGACCAGTCATGGGCATACTGGTTTTACCCGAGAGAATACCGAGAAATCCTAACACCACCGTAATATATTTTGGGAAAAAGTTTTTCTTGGGAGTTGATTTTGAATGTATGAGGTAAGTTTGGAGCGTTAAAATTAGGATTTAGCCTACCTTAATGAAGGAGATAAACCCCAATGATCTCTCTCACTTTACGCGTAAAAGCGCACAGCATGAGGAACTCGTGGCAAAATTTCTCGAAAACGTCACTGTCATGTGAGACATGTGAGACTTCATCAACACGCGTGAATATGGATAAGCCGTGCTAAGGGTACACTGATGCCAGAGAGCCGGGTGCAGGATGAAGGTGTGTAATCGTGGAGTGCAGATGCTCCTCACCACGGCGGGGGCTTTCGCAGCCTTCAGCCTGATGACCATCGCGGTGGGCACCGACTACTGGCTGTACTCGCGTGGAGTCTGCAGGACCAAAAGCGTCAATGACAATGACACCAACCGAAAGAACGAAGAGGTACTTACGCACTCGGGACACTGGAGACAGTGCTGCATGGAAGGTACTTTTTTTCCTTCAAAACTGTGAAAAAATGCTTTTTATTACATGTATAATGGATGACTTGATAACACTATAATAGCCTATATATTTAGCTCAAACTATGATTTTGTTATGATTTTTATTTTATGATTGCAAGTAAGTTGTAGCAGTAGAACTGTGGTATAAATGTTGCAATAAATTGATGGTAAATTGCTATTCATTAAACGAATGAATGAATTAAATGACAGAAAGGTTCTGAAACCTTAACACAGTATTTGTTTGAGATTTAATGTTACTGAATAATTGAAATATTTATACTCTTACACCAAAAAAATTGTACATTTTATAATTAACTAGGCTAATTTTATTCAAGTCAAAATAGCATAACATCACTTAATCAACCGAAATACCTTAATTTATACCAACTATTGTTTATGGGTTAAATCAGGTAAAATTAGCTATTTAATATAACAATTTCAAGTTACAATTTTTACAGTGTACAAAAAAGTAAAATCACCATGCAATTTTTTCATTGTACAGTAGTTTTACTGTTTTTTACATGTACCATAAATTACTCATAGTACACATTCACTATAATAGCACTATCTTACAATGACCTTACCGTCACTGTCATTTTACCACACATTACGTTTTTCTAAAGCTTGTGTGTCAGATGACTATAAATGTTTAAAAGTTGGAGCCGAATCAAACCCCTTTCCTGTTTCCTGTGGGTTGATTTATTTATCTGATTATTGATTGAATTATTTTTACTTTCTCTCACAATACGCATTCCTCTAGTTTCGACCCACACCCTCTCCTACTCTCTGACCTATATCACTTCAACGTCAATTATTTTAATGGAAAGTGTAATGAAGCGTTCACTCTGTTAAAAGGGCATCAATGTGACAGCGTTCACTTTACACGTGTGAATGCAAGAGATATTTAAGGTACGAGTAGACAGTTATGAAAGACGGTTGGCACAGACTATACTTTCTATAAAACATCATTTATACACACAAAGATATAGAAATCCAGCTATTAAAAATGCAGATGCATGTACATGTATGTGGCATCTACATCACACTCACATACATGCACATGCAATGACCATTTTGTATTAAATTACAAACAACAACAAAGAAAGCCATGGAAGCCCTGTTTAAATTGACATTTTAGCTTCTATATTTTGCTTTAAATCTCTTTTAAATATTACTTTGGCTCATGATATTTGATATGTGGATTGACACTGAGCAAAATAGAAAATGTGTTGCCTAGATAAAAGAGAAACAGAGTCTGTGTGTTTTGAGAATGTCTAATTAGTTTGGAGGATATTGATATTGTTAATGATTTGATAGCATTAGTCCAATCATGTGGAAAATGGCATTGGCCTTTAACTGAGGCATGTGTGATTGTGAAAGTATCTGGTGTTTCTTACAGGCATATTTAAAGGGGTTTGTAAGAACATTGATCATTTTCCAGAGGATGCAGATTATGAACAAGATGCTGCGGAATATCTACTGCGTGAGTATCTACAAATGTTTCACATTCAGTTAAAGATAAAACACATTCAATAAAAACCTACTATAAGAATAGCATTTGCAAACTCTGTAGTTTCCAATTTAATCACTGTTAAAACAAGGTTCCTTCCTAAAGATTTTAGAAAAGTGTGGAAATGTACTGAATTTGATTTGAGTAAATTCCAGGTGTGAATATATATGGGAAAAAAAGCAGTATGGAAAAATATTTGTGTTATTGTGTTAATCATACTGATGCATCAGGTGAATACTTGCAGATTCTTCTCATCATGTAGCATGTTATTACTTCAGGAAAACCAACGGCAAAAAAGAGAAAATAATAATATTTAGAGATGACAATATTATATAAATATAATGCTGTATGAACCATTTATGTAAAAATATGGACTGAAAAATTTAGAGTGGTTTGAAAATGATGGAATTTTGAATTGGAAAATATGTAGGAACCCTGTAAAAGAGCTCAAATAAAATAATAAGTATAATAATAATAAGTATATAGATTAGAGAAAAACACTATTAGAGATTAGTTATAATGTGTGTGTGTGTGTGTGTGTGTGTGTGTGTGTGTGTGTGTGT